CATGAGCCGGATTTGTCTTCCTGCCCGAGGCGATCCCCAATTATCTGTGCTGTGAGGCAAGCTGGCCTCGTGCCAGAGGAGGAGAGGGCTTTCTAGACTCTCTCTCTGATCTCACTTATTAGAGGAGTTAAAGGACATCCATCCGGGAGGTAGCACCGTGTACAGATAAAGTCAGAAACAGACCCACTGCCATTGAGTTGATACTGACTCGTGGAGGCTTTGTATGTTGCTTGGGAGAACTGCACTGCAGGATTTTCTTGGCTGTGATCTTAATGTTTTAAATGCCTGGCCTTTCTTGAAAGACGCCACCCTATGGGTACAACCTATTTAATTTGGAGTAGATAGTTGTTGTTTGTTGTTGTTGTTGTTGTTGTTGTTGTTGTTATGTGCCATCAAGTCAACTATGACTCATAGTGACCCTATGCACAATAAATCTGAACCCTGCTCGATCCTGAGCCAATCTCGCCGTCTCTGATACACCTACCCCCCCCCTTACCCTAGTTATTGTGTCAGTCTATCTCATCTGGAATCTTCCTCTCTTCCGCTGGCCCTCAACTCTTCCAAGCATAATGTCCTTCTTCCAAAACCCTACTCCCTAAAAAAAAAAAAACAAACAAAACAACAAAGACTGGTCCCTCCTGGCCACGTGCTCAAAGCATGTGAGAAAGAGCTTCAAAATCCTTGCCTCCAAGGAGCAGCTAAGTTTCACCCTCTCCAGGACAGAACTGTTTGTTCTCTTGGCAGTCCGTGGTATGTTCAATACTCTTCTCTAGCACCACCACTTGAGACATCGATGATTCTTCTATTACCCTTGGCATTGTCCAGCTCTCTTATGCAGAGTAAGTAATTAAAAAGACCATGGTTTGGGTCAGGTGCACCTCAGTCTCTAGACTGACATTGTTGCTCTTCAGCACTCTGGAGGTCCCTGACAGCAGATTTTCCCAATGTAATTTGTGTCTTTATTTTCTGACTGTTGGTGCCAAGAGTGTTGCTTGTAGAACAAAGCAAGCTGAAATTATTAACAATCTCAATCTCTTCTCTATTTATACATGGTGCTGCCAGTTAGCCCAGTGGTAAGAATCTCTGTTTTCTTTATATTGAGCTTCTATCCATATTGCAGACTTCAGTCTTTGAGTTGCTAGATGAAGGCAAACTCTCTGCCCTACCTAGAAACCACAACATGAAGAATGCAAGATGTAAAGTCTTTCTAAGGAGCTTTCGAAGGTGGCCTAGTGGCATGAAGCTGTGCTGCAATCCCAAAGACACATAGTTCGAACATACCATGAACTGCCAAGAGAACAAAGAGGTCTGTCCTGGAGAGGGTGAAACAAAGCTGCTATTGGAGGCAAGGATTTTGAAGCTCCACCTCATATATTTTGGACTCTGTGGCAGAAGACTGGGCAATCTCCTCCCATGTGATTAACTGCCTCTGAAAACCCGCTCGAGGGTCAGCTATGGATCAGTCCCAACTCTATGGTACACAACAACAACATCATCCATGAGGTCAAGAGCTCTGGTGGCTTAGTGCTAAGAAACAGTGCTGAAATGCCGAAGGCATGTGGTTCAAATTCGCCAGCTGATCCCTGGGAGAAAGATGGGCAATCTCCTCCCAAGCAATTCGCTGCCTCTGACAACCCGTGACAGGGTCAGCTCTGGGTTGGTTGAGACTCAATGGTAAGGATGAGGTAAGGATGATGAAACCTCCTCTCACACACTGGGGGCATGTTGTCCAAAAGGTCTCTGTACTCTGAAAAAGACATCATGCTGGGAAAGGTGGAGGGCTGAGAGAAAAAGGAAGACCCCCAACAAGATGAATTGACACTATACCCATAACAATAGGCTCGGGCATTTCCGAGATGGCACAGGATACAGCAAAGTTCAGCTCTATTGTTCAATGTAACTATGAGTCATAGTTGACTCTATGGCATCTAACAACAACATCATCTATGAGCTGAGAGCTTTGGTGGCCTCATCCGCAGGAGTTTTGCCGCTGACACCAAGGCCATGCTCTCCGGACGCCTGAATCCATGAGCAGCTCAGTGGGAGGAAAATAACCAATCTCCTCGCATATGATTTACTGACTCATAAACCTGCTGGAAGACTGGCCAGGAGTTGGTTCTAACTGGAGAGCAATGAGAGATCTATAGGCACGTGGTTCGAATCCACCAGCTGTTCCATGGGAGAAAGATGGGCAATCTCTTCACGTGCAATTAAAGAAATGCCTCTGAAAACCCACTGAAGGGTCAGCTATAGGTCTGTTCCAACTGGATGGTGATGGATGTTGTTGTTAGCTGAAGTCAAGTATATCTCATAGCAACTCTATGAACAGCAGATCTGAACCCTATCCAATCCAGCAGTAACCAAAAAACATGAGTTATCTCGGGCTCAGCGCCCTCAGCTGGACAATGAGAATCATAGCAGCACCTATTAGCAGGATTGCTTTGGTGATGAAATCTGCTAATGGCACAAATAAAGTTGTCTGAGCAGAGCCTAATGCAGAGGTAGGCCTCCATAAGGGAGTCATTGTTGTCATCCAAGATGAGCCAGGAACAACAGCGGAAACAGGCAGTCAAGAGGGAAAGTGAGATGCAAAAGCAACATGAACTTGGCAGTTTGAAGTCAGCGACAAGAGAGCCTCGTGTGGCCTAGTGGTAAGAAACTGCGCTGCAATCCCAAAGGCATGCGGTTCAAATCTACCAGCTTCTCTGCAGGAGGAAGATGGGCAATCTCCTCCCACGCCATTAACTGTCTCTGAAAACCCATCGGAGGGTAAGGTAAGGGTTGATTCTGACGCGATGGTCCACAACAACAAAAGAAGGAAAGCCGTTTCTGGTGTTGCCTGTTAGTCACCCTGGAGAGCCTACAGCTGGCGAAAAGCAGAACTATACAGCCATTCAGACGGTGCTCTGTGCAGGCAGCACACCCTGGAGACAGCACACCCTCCACGCGAGCAGCCATCATTCCCTCTTCTGCCCTCTTTCAGCAGCACCACCTCCAGGCAGCCGTTCCTCTTGCACACAAGGGTGGCTGCTGTTTGTAACAAGAGAAATAAGTGTGCTTGGGAAGTAGCTGCCACTTCCTCACCAGGATGAAAGGAGTCGTGGTAGGCCCTGAATGGCACTACCAGGACCGCACTTTGCCCACCGGGCCTCTTCATTTTCTCTAATAACCTCGTGTGGCATCCAAAAAAAAACCACACCAGTCTGTACAACAATGACTGGTGACTGATGCTGATCCAGAAGGGTTGTCAGCTGTGAATGTGTCACTTGGGAGAGAATACAGGACTATCTGGTGGCAGAAAAGTAGTGT